GACTGAGCTACTTCACTCAGCATAATGTCCTCCAGGGTCACCCATTTTGAATAGTATTGCATGAGTTTTTTTGTTTCTCAATGCAGCATAGTATTCCATTGTGTGAATATACCACAGCTTCTTTATCCATTTGTTTGTTGATGGGCACTTAAGTTGTTTCCAACTCCTTGCTATTGTGAACAAAGCCACAATAAACATGGACGTGCCTATATCTGCTTGGATGTCAGTTATGGTCTCTTTGGGGTATATTACCGGTAGTAGAATTGCTGGATCGATTGGTATCTCTGTTTGCAATTTTTTGAGAAAGCACCATACTGCCTTCCACAGTGGTTGCACCACAGATGAAGATATTTAAGTAGGGCTTCCTGGGATCTCTTCTGTTCAGAACTACAATTTCTGCACAATTATCTTTCCTTAGGTATTTTTCACAGAGCACTTACTGAAATCTTCAGAAGCAGACAAGTTCCCACCCGTCCATCTCCCCATTGAATGGTGCTCAGTAGCTTGCTGGGCTATAAGGAAACCAAACAGGATAACAGTAATTGAAGAAACCTTTGAGAGAAGATGTATCACTTTTGAGTTTACAACTACATGGTTTAAAGGCCACAAATTAGTCAATGGTAAGCTATACTACTTTAGAAACACCTGTTTCTCCTTATTGTATGGTGAAATATAAATTTATGTCAATAGGTAAATCTATGTGCAAACATGGGGAATTTCTTTAGCTGGTGGATAATTCAAGTTTGTTGAACTCCAATGCCTAGGTTTCCAACCCATCTACTCGATCCTGCTGTCTGAGAGATATTTAGATTCCCATCATGCTTTAGGTCTGGATTCCAATGTGTTCTCTCATTATAAACCTCCCTCAATTCCTTAGCTATTAATTTCTATGAACTCTCCTCTCCTGGCTTTCTCTTTCTGTGTCATAATACCCTTACCATGTCCTACCATGTATTTTTCAGGACATTGGACTACCCTTCATTTTTCTCACTGAAGTGAAGTCCTGTGGAAGTAGAGAGTGTATTCTTACACGTAATATAACATTGTCCTAACTAAGTAATCTAAAAAATTGCCTGCATATATATGTATATGTGTGCATTAATATATTTTGCATAAAAAAAGTACAGGAGATTGCAAGATTCACGTTACCAGATTTCATGTTAACTCCTCACCATATTGGATCCTATGATGGAAATATGATTGTCTTTGAAAATCATCCACACCTGCTCCTCTACACCATTGATGGCAACATGATACATGATTTTTGCAACCATGACCGTGACATCACCTGCTTATCAATGGTACATGTAATGCTTCTTCCCTCTTGCTTAATGCTCTAAGTTTCACTTCTTGGCCATTAATTCCTGAATATTTCTTTAAGGGTCCTGCTCATGTTCTCACCACATCCAAAGATAATGTTATAAATGTGTACATATGGAAAGAGGACGGCAGCTTTCCTCCCCTCACACACTGCTGTTGTTTGCCAATCATGAAAACTGACATTGAATATAACTGGTAAGGCCTGATTTGTGATTATACTTTCCTTAAAAATGTTCTATTTCAGTTTAAAAAGGAATGAAGGGATAGAGTGCCTTCAATACTCTTTCCTGGTGTATATGAGTATCAGGTCTTTGAGAATTCCTAATTCTTGGAGAATACTCATAGCCTTTCAATAAATGTAAAAATTGTTTTTAAAATGACCAATTATTATACTTCTTCATGTAGTATTAGGGAGGTTTATAGTCTCGATATCTTTTCTAACTCAGAACACTTGTTCTTTGACTGTGTTCATTAGTTTTTTTCTTTTAGGTTGGTTTTTAGAGAGTTGCTTTCTTCAGTTTGATTTTCCTGCTAGATTATTTTCATCATGATTGTTCTTGAGACTTTACATAGTGTACAGAGAATTTCATGTACTTTAAAAATATTTCCTTATGATTTCTTGTCCTTAGAGTGTTACAGAGCTTTTTTGGCATTATTTAATAAAACTACACATAGTTATCTTTAACTACCTGTGGCACAAAATGGAATTTTCCCTGAATGTTCACTGTAGCATTATTTGCTATTGTCAAACCCTAGAAATGATCTAATTGCCCAAGTGGAATAGATTATTAGAATTATTATGGTTCATCCATACAACAGAGTATTGGGCATATGGTACCAAATAAAAATAATCAGAAATATGTATGCTCAGATAAGTCTCTGCTACTTTTGGGAGTAAAATATTTTAGTGAAGTATACATTAATTATTCTTAGCAAACTTAAGACACAGAAAGAAAAATATATTTATATTTAATATAACTTGATGTCCTCTGAAGTGCCTGCTACAGAAAGTCAAGGGCTATAGTCTAGTCTGCAATATGAATTGAAGCTCAATGTCAAGGAGACAAAGATTTTCATCACTGGGCCAATGGGCAGCACTATGATAGATGGAGAAGAGATTGAAAGTGTTAACAGTTATATCTTGTTCGGCTCCACAATCAACACTCTCGGCACCAGCAGTCAGGAAATCAAATGTCAAATTGCACTGGGAAAAGCTGTGGTCAGGGACCTCTCCAGAGTACTGAGAAGAGACAATGTCGATCTGTAGACTAAGGTGCACCTGATCCAGGCCAGGATTAATTACCTGCTATACATCAGAGTTGGACAATGACTAAGGATGACAACAAAAGAATTGATGCCTTTCTGTTGTAGTGTTGGAGAAGAGTATTGAACATACCGTGGACCTCCAAGAGAACAAACAGGTCTGTCTTGGAAAGGGTCAAAACAAGTTTGTCCTTGGAGGCTAGGATTTTGAAGCTCAGTCTCATACTGTGGGTCTTTGGAGATGGACATCATATTTGGAAGCGTACATGGAGAATGTAGGAGAGGAAGACCCTGGATGAGACTGATTGACACAATAACTGGTGTAATTGGGGTAGATGTGTCAGTCAGTGAGTCTGGTTCAGGATAGGGCAAGCTTCAAAGCTGTTGTACACAGGGTTGCTATGAGTCACAGGTGACTTGATGGCACATAACAATTATTTCCGATTCAGAGTTGCTGTTGTTATCTTCTTTAAAAATTTTATTTTCTTTTTTTTTTGTGTGTATACCGTTAAATCAGATCTGACTGTAACAGGAGGAGGTTGTCCCTCCTTCTCCAAGAGAGCATCTGGTGGATTAGAACCGCACAGCACTGGGGTTGCAGTGCAGCTTCTTGCCACTAGGCCACCAGAGCTCTGTTATCTTTTTTATTTAAGATGTACTTCTTAAAATTTTATTTTTTATTGGTTTGCCTGTTGTTGTTTGTTGTTATGTGCTGTCGAGTCGTTTCCGACTCATAGCGACCCTATGCACAACAGCCCTAAACCCTGCTCTATCCTGTGCCAACCGCACCGCCTCTGACACACCCATCCCGATTACCCCAGTCACCGAATCAATCCATCTCATAGAGGATCTTCCCCTCCTGCGCTGTCCCTCCACCCTCCCAAGCATGATGTCCCTCTCCAAGGACCCGTCCCTCCTGACAACATGTCCAAAGTATGTCAGACGAAGCCCCAGAATCCTTGCCTCCAAGGAGTAGCTTGGTTTAATCCTCTCCAAGATGAATCTGTTTGTTTTCCTGGCAGTCCATGGTACATTCAGTACCCTTCTCCAGCACCACAGCTCAAAAGCATCCACTCACCTTCTGTCCTCCTTAGTCATTGTCCAACTCTCTGATGCATAACAAGCTACAGTTTGTATATATAGCTTGTGTTTCATACTATTCTTCATTCACACTGTGTTTTAAACAATCATTCCTATTCATTATGTTTTCTAAAACTAACCATCATTGGATAATGCCAACCATTACTCTGTCATTTCAGGTCCCTGCCAGATCTTTGTCATTACCTTTATTCCCTCTCTCCACCTACCAAATTGTGTAACTCCGTGATTCTGTCCCTACCCATCCTCCCCGCTTTACTCCCTCCCTTCTCTCCTTGGGTCCCCATACTTGTTTTATTAGTCACAATGAAATTGTATTTTTACAGTAATGGTCTTATGCAATATCTGTCCTCATGAGACTGAGCTCACTCAGTATAATGCTCTCTCCAGTCTTTGCCAAGTTATGTACTTCTGTTTTTTAAAAATTGTTGTTTCTGAATGCTACACAATAAGTTATCTTTTGACAACTTAAATCCTTCCCTTTATTTCAAATTTCCCATAGCATATTCCCATCAGTAATGTATTTACTCTTCTTAAAAACTTTATTTCTGGTGTGAGGCAAATGTGCGGGTTGGTGCTGCGGCCATGGAGCCGCTATGGGCTCTCCAGGCCCCGGCCCCTAGTGAGCACCGGCCTAGAATCAGGATGGAAACTTCATGATGGCTGACCAAGACCCCGGGGGCATTAGCCTCCTCCAGCAGATGGTGGCTTCAGGCACTGGGGCGACAGTCACCTCTTTCTTTATGACACCGCTGGACATGGTGAAGGTGCGTCTGCAGTCCCAGCGCTCCTTAGGAGCCAGTGACCCAACACCTCCCTCTAGACTGTGGAGCATCTCCTACACCAAACTGTCATCCCCTCTCCAACCTGCTGGGAAGTGCCTCCTGTACTGCAATGGAGTCCTGGAGCCTGTGTACCTGTGCCCAAAGGGGGCCCGCTGTGCCACCTGGTTTCAGGATCCCACGCGCTTCACTGGCACCATGGGTGCCTTTGTAAAGATTGTGAGGCACGAAGGCACCAGGACCCTCTGCAGTGGTCTCCCAGCCACCCTGGTGATGACTGTGCCGGCCACCGCCATTTACTTCACCACCTATGACCAACTCAAGACCTTCCTGTGGGGGTGAAACTTGACCTCTGACATCTATGCACCCATGGTGGTTGGCGCTCTGGCCCGTGATCAGCCCCCTGGAGCTGGTGCGGATGAAGCTGCAGGCTCAGAAGGCTGAGAGCCTCTGTTCAGGCTGCAGTGGCTCAGGGAGGCTGGTGCTCTCTGTGGCTGGGCTGGGGGCCCACGGTCCTTTGGGATGTGCCCTTCTCGGCTCTATATTGGTTCAACTACGAGTTGAAGAGCTGGCTAAGGGGGTCCAGGCCAATTGACCAGACATCTGTGGGCATCAGCTTCATAGCTGGCGGCATCTCAGGGACGGTGGCAGCCATCCTGACTCTGCCTTTTGATGTGGTGAAGACTCAGCTCCAGGTCCAGCTGGGAGCGATGGAGGCCTCCACGTGTGGACTCTACCTGGCTGCTGCTGCGGAGGATCTGAGCCGAGTCAGGGACAAGGGACTGTTGGCAGGCTTCCTCCCAAGGATCATCAAGGCCGCCCCCTCCTGTGCCGTCATGATCAGCGCTTATGAGTTTGGCAAAAGGTTTTTCCAGAAACTCAACCAGCAGTGACTGCAGGGCCCTTAAAAGGGGCCAGGGATTCAAGACCCACCCCCATCTCCTTCATGGATGGATGCAGGCAGGAGACTGAGCCAAGTGCCTTTTCCTCAGCACTGAAAGGTGGGGAGCTGCTTCCCTTTCCCCCTCTGGGTCCTCAGGGCCCCCCTCAGACATGGCTTTCTTTCTGCTGCTCCCCATTCCTGAGGCTCAAGGAGCATCAGTTTTCTATCTCCCAAGTTCAAGACTAAATCTGCTGTCTGTCCACACCTTCATTTCCCTGTTTTTTTGCTGTAACTGGACCTGCCCCCAGGAACCAAACACCCTGGCTGGGCGTGCCTCAGTCTTCCCTACCTCCATTAATTCTTTAAGTTTTAAAAAAAAACAAAACAAAAAAACCACAAAAAAACTTTGTTTCTTCTATCCATCTGACTTCCCCCCCTTTTTTAGTTATTCTTCTACTTACTTTTTTTTTTT